AACTGCATATCACAGAGAATGCCCAGATTTCCCTGCAGCTGCATAGCACCAGGCTTTTGTGTTCCCATCACAAAAATTGGGAGACGGTTTGGTGAAATGGTTCAAGCATCAGTTCTGATCCTGAGTTTTATCCTGCCTTAAGCACAAAGCCAGCAGGGTGACTTTGGACCAATCATTCATATTCTTATTCTCTCTCTCTCTCTCTCTCTCTCTCTCTCTCTCTCTCTCTCTCTCTCTCTCTCTCTCTCTCACACACACACACACACACACACACACACACACACACACACACGACTGTGGGATGAAGGTTCTTCGTTGAAGGTTATGGATCAGTTTCACTTTCATTTTTTCTCCCAACTTTCCAGTCTAGGGCCAGAAGAGAATGACCGGCTCAAAGTCACCCAGTCAGGTTCTATGCCTAAGGGAGGACTAGAACTTGGTCTTCTTTCTCCTAGCCCAGCATCTTAATCCACTTTACCACATATATGCACATTTGCTAGGAATAAGCAACCAATTTCAATGCAATTGTTAAATGGATGAAATTAGAGAGAATTAGTAATAAAAAACTTACAATGCATTTTTAAATTTAAATTGCCATAGGAACCATGTTGCTTGCCCTGCAGCAACAATAGCAAGGTTATTCCACTGCTTTATGGCCCCCTACTCCAATGTTATCTTAAACCATCTTTTGTAATCCCTCACTCAACATAAGCCAATTACAGGAGCTGCAATTCAACTCATATGGGAAGCACTTGGTTAAGGCTGCTATTGTATTGGTTGCTAAGATTGCAGCTCATCTAAACAAGCCTCAGAATATGAGTTAAGATCCATTTATTACAGGACTTTCTCCATGCCCTTGTTGTGTCAAGAAAGACATCTAAGGAAAACCAAGCTATCCCCTTTCCCCTTCCCAAAATACCAGTTGGCTCTCTAGAAACAGGATGCAGAAAATCTTTTTCATCAATATTGTGCAATGCTGCTAGTCTATTTTCACATGCTCATCTGTTTGAAATATTGGCCCCTTACACATGTCTTGAACTTTGTGACTTCTTCATGATATCTGTCACTACTCTATTGATTTCTCCCTGTTTCTTCTCCTTTAATGCTGTCAGCAGCGTTTTCTATGACAGGAATGATTTTGCTGTTAGGAATTTCATTACTTTTCCAGCATGGAGAAGGTATATACAATTTTATGTGAAAACAAGGCTTTGAAAGAGTTTGAGTGTTTTTTTTTAAAAAAAGAATTTAATACACTGTGTATGATCTATCTCGGGTGCAGATTATCTGTTCCCGAGAAACAGTTTGTAGTTCGAAGGGGTACAATCTAGGCAGGACTGCAATTTGACAAAGAGAAGTTATGTTTGAGTTTTATCTCACAGTAAAATCTCATAGTATGTGGAATGAGGAATGTAGGGGTTCTACTAAAACTTTCTCAGATATTATTTTCATAAATAGAAACATCTAAAATCTTATTTCCTGGCTCCTAATTTCTGTCCTGCTGTGTTTCATCAATTAGTTGTTTTATAGCTATTTTCCATGCTGGATTCATATAGGAACTTTTTAGCAAAATGCTCAGAAATTTTAGCCTTGGATTTTCTTTTCTTACATGCCAACATTAGCAAGATAGCCATTTTCACACATGCAAAATACCCATAATTGGAAGAGTGGATAATGAAGAAGGTAGAATTTGCAGAAATGGCTTAATTGGCTTGTTTGAATAGGGAAAGTGTAATAAGTACTTTTATAAAGAAACCCGGGAACTCTTTATGGACTTTTGTTGTTGTTGTTGTTGCTGAAAATGGATTTATTGGGTTTATTGATTGAAAGTGCTATATATGGAAGAAGGAAATCATTTAATTTGGGAGGGCAGAAACAATATTAATTATGTATATTGTGTTATCTAAAGAAACAATGCATTTTACTTCATCCCAATAAGAGATGAGAGTTTGCACACTCAGATCATTTACAGTGGATTTTAGGAATTTGATACACCATAACCTTTTCAAGTGGTCATTTTAGCAACTGATGGAACTGAAGAAGCTTCTCAGATGAGAAGCGAAGTATCTTCAAAGGAAAAAAAAATGAGAAAGTTCAGTTGCCTTTTGAAAAGCCTCTTTGGGTCATCTTATCTGACCATTTACCAATATTTTCTAATTGTTCTATTCCAATATCTTAGACCTGGTACTTTGTGCACATATATGTTAACCAGTGTTTTTTGTAGTCCCTATCTTTCTGAATTTTACATCCAATTATTGAATCCTGAAAATCCACAGTTTTATCAGTAGACAATGTAACAAAATTTAATACCTTAACATCAGACATTGAGACCTTTCCATCACCATAGAATCTATAAGGCTGTATGGCAGCAACTAGAGTTGGAGAACATGCTTTAGTGTTTTATCCATGGGTCTTCCCAAGCTACTCTCCTGGATTCCTCCAATTTGCTATTCTTGGCCATGACCAAGCCACGTCAGTCAAGGGATCCCATTCTTTCCCAAATTCCTTCAAGTTTACTTACCATGGATACGCCTCTTCCTAGTTGGTGAACATACTTCCATAGAATGACTACAAGAAGGGCAGAGTCTCCAATGGAGCAAATGGAACATGAAAAATAAGGAATTCCTTGGGGTTCGGAAGGCTTTGAAGACCTCCATTTTTCCTCCCCTTTCATAAGACGTTCTTACAGGAAATGTAGTTAAGTTATCCATCAGCTATAATCTCATAGTTAGCCTCTGGTTGCCCAAGAAACAAGGTGAACTTATAATCTACCTATATATTCAAAAGAACCTATATACACCTCAAAGTATATATTTCCTTACATATTGCTATATTTTGTTTGTAAAGTTAAATAAAGTAACAACTTTACTTAGAAAGCATCATTTTAAGGTATGGAATCAAATATACTTTTGTTTAGACCAGTGGTTTTCAATCTGTGGTCTGTGGACCCCCAGGAGTCCATGATCTTGCCATGGGGGTCCACAAAGGCTTGAGGAAATTTGATATTTAAATACAGGGGTGGGATTCAAATTTTTTAACAACTGGTTCTGTGGGCATGGCTTAGTTGGTGGGCATGGCTTGGTGGTCATGTGACAGGATGGACGTGGCTTGGTGTTCATGTTATTGGCTGGACCTGGCCAACTCAATATCATCGAGGTACTCATCTCCTTGCCTGGCCTCTCATGACTGTGGGGATGCTGCAACAGTCGTAAGTGTGAAAAATGGTCATAAGTCACTTTTTTCAGTGCCATTGTAACTTTGAATGGTCACTCCACACAAGCAAAGTATCAGCAAAGGAGGGGGGAAAAAAACTCCTGAGATGTTCCTGAGACAGGAAGTCTAGTCCTGCCAAGGGTTAACGGAGAGGCAGTTTCTGTAAGCAACACCAGAATGTTTCCTTCCTGCCTTCCTTACAGGATTAGGCCAGTAATTTCTTCTAACAACTGATTCTCCAAACTGCTTAGAATGTTAACAACCGGTTCTAGCGAATAGGTGCGAACTGGTAGAATCCCACCCCTGTTTAAATCTTCAGTGAAGTCTTGGGAGTTTGTGACCATAGTCCATGGCCACAAAGGGTATTTAAAGGGGATCTGTGATGAAGAAAAGGTTGAGAATCACTGGTTTAGACAATACCAAAGGGAAATGATTTAAAATACTGGTCCAAATTTATCTTTTTTCTGTTGGGTAATTAAAGTACAGTGGAACCTCAGGTTGTGAACGCTTTTGTTTGTGACCAAATTGGTGACAACCAGAATTTTTGCTTCTTTTTTGCTTCTGGTCGCGAACAGATCTTTGGGTGGTGACCAAGCAAACCCAAAAATCACAGTGGCGATTTTCCGTGCTTCAGCAATTTCCCCTTTGGCGCCATTTTTTTTGTTTTTTTGGTCCGTGCATGCACAGATGGTTGTGTTTCTGGTCATGACCAAATCGGGTTGCGACTGTAGTCCTGGAATGGATTATGGGTGCAACCCAAGATTCCACTGTATCTTTGAATTTGAGATATCCTATCTGGATATGTAAGTAAATCAAATAATTTCTAAATGTGTATGGTTTGAAGAAGGAGACATTACTGCCTCGTAATTTTAGTTGCACAAGTTTAAGACTGACTTGGTGGCCTAGAGGAGTGGATGCTTGCCTCCCACTCAGAAGGTTGAGAGTTCAATCTTAGGTAGTAGCAGATGTTTCTGAACTAGGGCACAAAGAAACAAATTATCTGCTGTGAACTTCTCATAGGTGTCAGAAGGGCATCTGACCAGTAAATGCTCAGCTCCATCCGGTCACCCCAATTTTACCTGAATAGGGAATATAGGGTTGTAAAAAGAAAAAAAATAGGTTCATGGGTTTTCTGTAGTAACCTGGTATATATTTTTTTTTGTCAGGGCAACCTGGTCTACCCAATTATAGGACGGAGCATACTGCTTCCGTTTTTTTGCCTTTCAGACCCAATCCAGGAGCCTTCACAGGCAGTCGCTTTCACGACAAACTATTTTTTGTCCTTGCCAAACTTAAAAAAGGTTTGTAGTTTGTGAAGGCTGCTGGATTGGGGATGAAAGGCAAAAACAGAAACAGTATGTTCCATCCCATAATTGGGTAGACCAGGTTGCCCTGACAAAAAAAACAATCTTTCCCCTGGTATAGCCAACAAAGGGAGGAGAACCCAGAGCTTAGAGGTTAATACATCTACCTAATATACAAATAGCCTGGGTTTGAATCCCAGAAGGGCATGGCTAGCTTATGAAAGCTAAATAGCTTGAAATAGATCTGCAGTGGTCTCCCATTATTTCTTTGTCAGCAAAACATAAATTCAACCTGGTATAATGCAACTAAGGTGTCCCTCAACTGTGTAAGACTTGCTAAATTTATTACCTCGTTTTAGGGGTCTGCATAAGACCCAGTGAAGGTTTCAGATCACCTTTTCTGTTTCTGTTTTCAAACAATTTAATTTGCTTGATAGAAATTACACAAGTAACATGTTTATACAATGCTATCTTTCCTTGTTCTAGGTTCTCCTTACTATTACAGTGCTGCAGCCCGTGGAGCTGCTCCCCCAGCAGCCGCTGCTGCTTATGATCGTCACTGACAAAACAAACCAAGAAGCACATTCACCACATCACGTCAGACGACACCACTGGAATCATCTAGAGTGCAACTATGAAATCAAGCTATAAGGAACGATAAGAGAAATTGTCCAACCAACCCACGCAATGATTAGAATATTATTCTTTCAGCTAGGTGAACAGCTTATTACTTCACTGTTTTTAATTAATGGATTTTTTAGAGATCTTAATTGAATTTCCCATTAAAAAACACAGGGCAAACAAAGAATTAGTTTTGCTCACATTTCCTGCAGTTTGTGAAATGCAGTAGCCATGCCTAACATGCAGTCTTCTTGCTCTGGACTGACAAGCTATATCTGCTTCCTCTAGCCATGTTGGGGAATAGGAACATTTCTAATGTTGAACAATTCCCTCTGGGGTATCTCTTTAATGTGTGCATTGTAATACAACATGTAGTTCCAGCTTGGACAACACGAATTGTGTCTTAATTCAGTGAGTAGGCATTAAACACAAAAGAAAAACAAATCTTCTACTCAAATAGCAAAGCACCAATGTAAATAACTTCTTTGTGTTACTATAGAGTGGTTTAGCATAAGTCAAATACATGGAACAAAGGATGATCTTAAAATACATTGGAAAAATGTGTTCTGATAATGGTGCACTGACTTTAAAACTTCAGTAAGCTTTAAAACAACTCTAAACCAGGTTAACATTAACTGGCCATTTCTGGGGCTAATGTTCTTTCTAGAAAAACTATTCTGACAGTCAGGCGAGCATTTGGTAATGAACCTATGAACAAATGACAGGGAGAGTTACCACCATTTTAACTGTTGAATATTATGTTTATTTCTAATCACAAACAATATGGTTTTTGACTTTAAGTTCATCTCAGTATAAAATAAGAAATTACAAATGACCAAAACCTTATATACAGTGGTACCTTGGTATTCGACCGCTTCAAAACTCATCAAATTTGGTACTCGATGCATTTTGACTCAAAAATGTTGTCTCAGTATATTTGTTGTTTGTTTGGTACTTAATGTACTATGATGGAAAAGGGGGACAGCCATGGAGAATGGACAGGAAGTTGGCCATGCCAAGAAGGTCGCTGCAAAAGGAAGAGGGGGATGGCCACATAGAGTGGACAGGAAGTCAGCAGTGCTGGGAAGGTCACTGACATATCAAAAGGGACAGATGGCAAGTTCTTTTAGGCTGAAACAAAGAGTCATGTAGTGAGTCACGTGGTTTGTTTGGGACTCATCAATTTTAGTTTTTGTCGTGCTTCCTGGAACCAATTAATGATGAATACCAAAGTACCACTGTACATAAAAAAGAAACGCTTATACACAATGAAGGAAAGGTATTATCTCCCAAGGTAGAATTTGGGGGCTTTTTTCTCTTCAAAAAGGAATAACTTGAGTTTCTCTAATCTTAATAAAGCAGTTTTCATAAAGTTTCAAGATGAGAGGTTGAAAAAGGTCAGGGTTATATCATGTCATGGGCTATTCATAAGTAAAATTTCAAGACTCTCCTAAAGTTCCCCAACTGGAACTGACATAATTTCACTAAGAATAAGTTAAGTGTATTAATAGTGTGGCTTTTCATCCTGATATACAAAGAAAGGGTTAGGATTTCTATGCTTTAACATTTTTCCCTATGGTATATACACTCCCCTATGTATAGAATGAAGTTTATAAATGTTAGGGGAAAGATTGACTTCAATTATTTATGTTGCCATAAAATTCTCTTCACTCCAAGAACTACTCATTTTATCATTTTTTTAAAAAAAATCTTCTGACCAGTGATGATCTAGTTCAGGGATGTCAAATTCGTGTTGTCACAGAGGTGTCACGTGACGTATCACAACTTTTTCCCCCTCCGCTAAACCGGGCGTGGGTGTCGCCAGTGCGTGATGCATCTGGCCTGCAGGCCACATGTTTGACAGCCCTGATCTAGTTGAATAAAAGGATATGCTTAGAAGAAGCTCTCTTTTCTTATACAAAATCAGTGGGACAGAAGCTGAGTAATGATATCAGAGATTTCACAGGCCTACCCAAATCAATATCCTACATATGGAAAATACTCCTTAAGTCTTGCTTGGTTTTTATGTCAAGGGATAATTCAATGATGAGTGCTTTTTATAGTGCCTCTCAGGTATAGGGGAAAAAAATCTTGTGCCCTGCTTTAATTTTGGGGGGGATAAAATTATATGCATGACAAGGAACCCCAAATCTTTGTTGAAAACTTAAGAATGCTCAGATGAATGGGACACTTTAAAATGGAATTCATATGAAATTATCTTTATACTTTGCCCGTCTATCTTGAATTCTGTTTTTTTCTAAGCCAAAATGCATTTATATATCCCCTTCAAATCAGATATTTCCATCACAGGTCATTAGATGATTTACAGAAACCCAGCGATCCTTTTGCATATTTAATTCAAAGAAATGTTTGAATAACATTATTTCAGATCATATCAGAGACCATTATTTAAAGTTGACTTTCCCCCACTTAGTGCTCTCCAAAAGGTCTGAGCAATGCTTAATATACCCGAAGGACACCAGGTTGGAGTCTAAGATTTAAATTATAGGAAATAGGAAATTATAGGAATATGGACTTGAGTCAATATAAGTTGCAGAGATAACCAGCAAATTAACTTAAGACACCCAAGGTTCATAGAAGAGTTGCAAAACCAGATAAAAGGGATTTCCAGATGCCAGTTAATCAATAGATGGAAGTATCAACAAAAATAGTTCCTTATTAATGAAAAATATCTTCCATCTGGCCAACAAATGAATTAATGAGTGTTCATCACATAAACATGTTCTTAGCTTCTGTTTTTTTTTTAATTAAAAAGAAATTGCCATTTCATGTAGAATTTTAACACATTTATTCTAGAGGAGAGTGTAATGTTTTTTTTTTATCATGAAGTTTTATGCAGATGCTAAACAGAGGACTGGTTTAACCAACTAATTCAAACTGCATAACCAGCAAGGAATCATTACGAGAGTACCTGTAGAATAAATACATTATTTGAAGCTGTAAGAAAACAGTTTTCTAATCACTATTTACTGGGGCTTTCTCTGAAAGTCTGTAAATAAATGAGACTTGCACAAAATAAATTTCTGGTTAGCTGTGGCCATCTTGAGTGGGCATCATTCTCCTTTGTGCAGATAGAATAACTCCTGTTTCACCCATAAACTATTGATTCCCATTCTAAAAAGATTGCTCTCCTTATGCTCAGTTTTGATGTACAGGTAGTCCTCGACTTACGACCACAATTGACCCCAAAATTTATGTTGCGAAGCGAGACATTTATTAAGTGAGTTTCACCCCATTTTACGACCTTTCCTGCCACAGTTGTTAAGTGAATCAGTGCAGTTGTTAAGTTAGTAACATGGTCGTTAAGTGAATGGCGCTTTTTTCAGTGCCATTGTAACTTTGAACAGTCACTAAATGAATTGTTTTAAGTTGAGGTCTACCTGTATGGGTATGACCTTGGGAGATAGGAGGAAGAGTCACAGCCTAAAAATCCTTCGTGCAAAAGGTAACTCAGCCCACAAAAAAAGAAAAGTGTATGGGATATATCTCAGAAAGACTCTTTCTAACTTTCCGGAGAGTAAATGTAAAGACAGGTGAGAAATTCTTTCAGACTAGCAAGATTCTCTTGCTGTAGCCTTACAATAAAGGTAGTGTTAGTTCTCATGGTTTCTGCTTCTTGTCTGGACTAGCTCAAAAAGCTGACAATATGTTCATAAAGTCTTGTTGATCCTATCCCAGCAGATCTAAATCATAAATATGCAGACAGAGGGAAAAGCTGGTATTCATTGGAAGATGTAGAGCGAATGTTTTAATATAAAAGTTGGAGTGACCAAGTACAGCATTTTTTTTTTTTACTAAAAGTCTTTAGTCTTTTCAACAAGTGAAATAAAAAAAACAATATCGTCTAATCTCACTAATCCCTAATTTCCAACCATGGACAAACAGTAAAATATTCCTGGGTCAGACGCTATCCTAATGCTATTTTCTCCTCTTTATTGCCAAACCAATTCAAGTCCCTGGAGAAAACCTCTCTGAAAACCACCCAAGAATAGCTCCCACACACAATGTTTTAATTTCTGTAAAAGAGCTTTAGACAGTCCTCTTCTGTGAGTAGGCTCCTATAATCTTTGATAATATTAAGTCATTGCATCTCCATTGCTACTCCATAGTGTGTATGTGACTAGGAAACAGAGGAACTAAGAAACATTAGTGTATTTTGTATTTAAGGAAGCAATTTTCAACAGCTTGCACAAAGAAATGATGACATCTAAAGCCTGGTGAATCAGGAGGAGCCACAAGTAGACAGCCCTTGGAAATCCAGGCTCTGCTTCACCTTGTCAGGATTCCAGCATTTACCCCCATTGAAATCATGAGTCTGGAGCCAAACTTCCAAAACTTAAAAAGGATTTATTGGGAGTTGAACTGTCCGGCACTGCCTGGGTGCAGCCGACTCTGAGGCACATAATTCATTGTCACCCTTGACCCTGGTTTCCACGCCCCCCCCCGGGTGTATTGTAATTCATATTCTCCAATGGGACACATCCATAGCCAAGAGTCATCAATCATGTTCTCCAGTTAGAATTTTGCAGGGCAGAAACTTCAGTCACCTGGACTTTGAAAACATTTATGGAATGCAGTTTCAGTTTGCAAGCTGCTGCACCGCTCCCCCCTCCCTTTCTGTTGGCGATTCTAAAAAGACCATACAAATATTTTATGAGTTGGCACACCTGGCATATTGCATGCATGTGATACAGAAAGGTAGAGAACTCATCTTGTAAGTTGACGTCTTGGTCAATTGACACTTCATTGTTGTGATTTATAGGGGCAACTTACTGTAGTTCACACGGTGACCCCTACCTTTATATTATTTTGAGGTTTTTTTTTAGGTACCAACTGACCAAGCTCTCTTGGTCATCATACAGACACCCAATTCTTGCATAAATATTCAATAATGTGTGTCTCTATGTATGTATGTCTTTCA